GCGGCCGTCGGCGCAGCAGCATGCCCGCGAGCCGGCGGCGGGAAGGAGCGCGCCGCGACCCGCTCTAGATGGTAAGGCGGCCGCGGACCGGCGGAGGGACCGGCGGAGGGACCGGCGGGCGGGCGGGCGGGCGGCGCTCGGTGGCCGGCCTGCTGCGGCCCGCGCCGGGGCATGCTCCTGCTCTCAGCCTCTGCAGTGTCCGCTGTCACTTTGCAATAACTTTCAGATATTGACGTCCCTCGACGGGTAAGGCGCCCGATGGTGGGAGTGGGTTTTTTTGGGGAAAAGGCTCCCTTGACCAAAACAATCTAGCAACGAAAAAAAGAAATCGGCAGGACCTTTTGATTCTGAACTTCAGCCCATGACTCTAGAAACGTGCTTTAATAGGAATATTTTTTAACTTGGAAGTGAATTTGGGGAGGGGGGCTCGCTTCCTTTCGCCCACCGAGTTACAGACACAAATGCTCCACCCTCCTCCCCGTCCCCAAACGTTTTTGTAAAGAATCGGCATTTTTCTACTTTCCGGTGTCCGTTCTTCCAAGATCCGTTTTTCCCTTCCTCCCCTCTCAGACCTCTTTATTTGAAACAAAACAAAACTTTGCTGGTGGTGCGGATGCGGGCCGTGGGGTGTAAACGGGCAGTTCCTCCCGCCTTCTTTCTTCATTTCTCCTCCACATGATTGTCATTTCATGCTAAAAGGAAAGGACACGCTCAGGCTTTGGGGCAATTTGGGGAAGCATATTTTTGTGTTGGTGTTGTTTTGGTTTGTTTGCTTGTTTTTTGATCCCACAGAACTTTGTAGCGCTCGATCACCTTTTGATTTTTTATGGAAATGTGCTAAGCGTGGTGTACTTCTGACAAATCGGAGCGCTCTGGGGATGAATTCGGAACGGTGCGATGGAACAGCAAATAACCGGAAGGCGTTTCTTGGGAACGGTTTTTAGTTTGAAGAAATTCAAGAAATGGCTCTTTTCTTTTTCAAGGAGGAGGAGGTTTGTGTAGAATGTGTTGGCTCATCTTTCTGTTGCCTCTTTCTTTGGTCTTTTGAGAAAGCCAGCAAATAAATTCCTAGTCAAAGTTGCCCATCCTGTTTGCTGCACTTTATAAGTTATTGTTGCTGAATGATTGGGAGCTGTCCATCAGCAACAGAGAACTTGCAGTTTACTTAAGAAATTGCATGTGTGACAAAAGCAGCTGCCAGGAGTGTGGTGGTCCGCGTGAATAGAGGGAGGGAAGGCAATTAGGAGGCTGTGTGGTTGGGGCTTTTTACTTGTCAAACTGGAGGCTCATTGCTTTTGTTACTGCCTTGTAAAGGGAAATGGCAAGGTTTTGTTTTGGTATTAAGGGCCTTAAAGATTGCTGCCTGACGCTTACACAGGAAGGCCAGATAAGTCCAGAAAGAGGGGCCACGAAGCAGTATTTTTAAAAAGACGAAAAGAAGAAAATGAAGAATTCCCACTTTGGGGGGTATCTTTAAGCCCTTCCAGCCCTTGTTTTTGTTGATTTGGGGGGTTGGGGGCGATTAACTTGTCCCGTGTATTAACAGATTGCTTAAAGACCTACATCATGAAAACAATCCTGTGGGTTTGGAGATAAACAGATGGACAATCAGTTCAGTAAATTAAAAACATCCCCTCCGTGTTAGCTGTCCTGCCGCCAGAAGAAACCATATCTTTGCCACTGGTCTTGCTTCAAGCAACACAGGTCCAAGATCCCCTGTGGGTGCAGGGGTGTTTTCTTACCTGCATGCAAATTAGGGTTGTATATTTGCTTTTGAAGAGGGTGAAATGATTTAACGCTTGAGGTGGAAAGGACGGGAAAAAGACTGGATGAGTTTTGTCCTCTGCAACTTTTTCTGTCTTTAATCCCTCCTTGAGTAGTCATCCTCCCACACTCCCCACCTTCATGTAAAAGAGGACGATTTCAGGCCTGTGATGTCTGAGTGTCTCAACTCAAGTTAAGTTAAACCCACACAAATGTACCCGGCCCTGGATCCCATAAGAGCCCCAGGAAAAGTAAGTTGGGTTTGTGGGATTCAGCGATAGTCTTTGCATCCCTCTGCCTATTCCCTTTCTCTCTCTCTCTCTCTCTCTCTCTCTCTCCCCCACCCTTTCTCCCCCCCACCTCTCCCCCTTTCCCTCTCTCCCTCCTCCCGCCCCCTCTCTCTCTCTCTCTCCCTTTCTCTTTTTCTGGGGGAAAGCTCACAAGACTCAATAGTTGAAAAAATCGAATTAGCGTTATGACTAGCATTCTGACTGTTGGAATGCCAGGTGAATACAAGGAGCTTAGTTTGTTCTGCTTCCAGAGAGGTCAGTTGAAAATCTTTCAGGCACAGTCTCTTACTCTGGAAGGAAGAGAGGGTGTGTGTGCGCGTGGCAGGCAAGGCCCTGCAAAGTGTCACTTCCGTGTCACCCTGACAAGAAAATATCCTTTCCTCCTCCCTCCTCTCTCCCACTGCAGCCCTCTCCCTAAGAAATTTGTTTTGAGGGATTTGACAATCTTGCAGATAAAGTGCCTGCCTACTGCATTCAGTTGATCATTTTCCCTCATGGCTGACCATAATTTCTTTGCTACTCTTAGCGGCAGCTCTGTCCCTGCTGCCCAAGGTAACGGGAGAGGGAGGGGGACTTGACTTAGGTGCCCTGAGCTGGCTGGGGAAAATGGGCCTTCCCCCTTCCTTCATGGATTCTGTAATGGTAAAGATTAGAAACTAGAAGTTTTTTTAATAAAATTTTTTTTTTTAATTAAGTCTTCAACCAACTGAACCAGATTATCAGTAGATTTTTAAATTTTAAAGATTTTTTAAAGGGATGTTTATGCAGGAGGAAGAATTAACAAAATAATTCTAGGCAATGAGTGAGACCTTTAAGCATTTTAAGTCTACCAGGCCGGAAATCTGGAGCCATTTCGATCTTTTAAGATGCTTTTTTTCAGCTCTTTAAGTGAAAGATTTAAAGGGAGGGGAAGCTGGGAGGAAAAAGAAAAGTGAGAAAAGCAGAAAGGGAGGAGGAAAAAACTGGCCCAGTCCCATCTTGAAGGTGCAGAGAAAGTTTTTTTAGAGGTGGAGAGAAGGAAAACCGAAGCTGTTATGTACCCTAGGGATACAGTGTTAGTGGGAATGGAAGATTTGAGTGGTAAGGGAGGTGCAGTGGCCTCTGGGGTCTCTCTGTTCCAGCAGTTGGGCGGTTGGCACCTCAATTTGAATTGCTGGGTGAGTAGTGGGGTGGTGGTGTGGTGGTGTGGTGGTGGTGGCGGCGGTGGTGGTGGCGGCGGCGGTGGCGGCAGCGGCGTGTGTGTGTTTGTGTCTGTGCCTATGGTCTTGACCATTGAAACGCTGCAATTTTTTTTTTTGGTGGGAAGGAAAAAACAAAACAAGAATAAATGATCGACTTAGACTCTGCCCTTTACATACTTTTTACAGCAGCTTTTTGGGGAGGGGGGCGAAAGGGTTAAAAAAGATGGGGAGGAGAGAGCCTGACTTTCATCACAGTCCTTATAGTTCTGTGGCAAGGCAGACCCGGCTCCCCAAGTACGGGCGAGCTGGAATTTAGGAAGGGATGGTGCGGCTTGGGATTTCTTCTAATAATTTTTTTCTTCACCCACCAGGGTGGGCTCCAGCAGAAGAGAGAGAAGGAAAAATGACATTGCCTCATAGAGGAACATACTTTCAAAACTTGAAACAGTTTTGAGCAATAAGGCTTTTACAGTAGCAGGGCTTGTGTCAACTGTATATTTTGGTTTCATATTTAATGCTAACTTTCTGTTGCTCTGTCTTCAGTTGTATTTATTTTCAGTCTCCAGATTTGTATGTCGGCCTTTTAAGGGCTATGGTCTTGCTTGTGGTATGTGTATTTTCTAAACTTAATAAAAAATATGTCTTGGAAATCTGAGCAGAGAGACCAGTGACAGCTCATTGTGCTGTTAATGATTAGGAAGAAGGCCCTTTAAGATATATTATACTCTGTTCAACTGCTGGATCATATCTTTTGCCACAAGCCGTAAGGGCATTCTCATGAATTTGGAAGCAATTCCTTAATTATCTTTATTAATACTTTTATTATTTGTGATGCTATTGTGTGGCCAAACAGAAACACAGTAGTGGATCAGCTCTTTGATCCAATTTTTGGGGCGAGGGAATGAAATATACTATAGACTCACAAGAAGCCTTATGTTTTCAGAATCATGAATCAAATCCCATGTGTCATGTTTTAATAAAAGTAGATTGTTTTCTAGTTGAGCATACATGAACGACGGTTGTTTAAGTCTTGGTTTTCCTCTCTAGTTGTGTGCAGCTTTCTAGTTCAATCCAAGATTGTATAAACTGTAAAAGAATTGTGGGGAAGAGAGCACAGTCTGTTGCTGCAAACGTGTAAGTTATGCTGCTGCAAATTTCACACCCAGTACAGTTTTCCATTTTGAGGTTCCTGAGGGGTTCCAGACCCTGGTTTACCCAAGTTACATAATAGCAGTCCTGTTGCTTTGGTGGGAATCAACCTCTATTCTTGATGTCTTATGAGGAGGCAGTTGCTTTAGAAGGATACATTTCCGACTCCGATGATACAGATGTTAGGATCTTGCTGTTGTCATAACAGGCTACTGTATCGCATTTTCTGGAAACAACAGAGCCTGCAAGTTTGTTTAAGGGAAACCTCCCCTTTGTGGTCTGAGGTTGGTGGGGGCCTGGTTAAACTATGTAATGGAATTCTTTCCTTCTGCAGTCTTTTGGAATATGATGAAATCCTGACATGCCCTTCAGATTACATACCTCTACACACATTTAAGGATTTTTAGAAAATTGAACTTTGCTTTGTTAATTCCCATGTTGCCTTATTACCTTAAACTTCCAGCAACACATCAGCTCAGATCAGAGGGAGCGGCAATCGTGTTTGCCCTCCTCGCCCCTCGGTGTCTCTTTCTTTTTCATGTGTCCTTTATTGAGGATGTAGGTGCCAGTTAAAGGATGCCCATGTTTTGGATATCAACAGGGCAAAAATAGAGTGGCACAGTGCAGTTCCGCCTTTATGTTTGTCTTCCTTTCTGTCTTTGCGGAATTCTTGCCGAATCCCAGGGTTTGGGCATTTGTGTTTGTTGAGCCACATGAATAAAAAACGTTCATTCCTCCTTTAGGTTTATCTGCTGTTTTCTAAGGAGAAAATATACCTGATCTCTGAAGGAAACAGCTGTTTCTTCAGCTTTTTTGTCAGACTATGGAGCAGGCATGATTTTTCAAATACAGACTATATGACTTGAAAGCTAGGCACAGGGTATACAAGAAAAACAAGAGACATGTTTAATGCAGCTGTTCCTTGTAAATAAATTAGAAAAGGTGGTATCAGATTTTGTTCACTACATCTTTAGCTCCCCAGGATGTAGTAACCATTACGCACTTAAGATTTATTCTAAATCAAAATTGGTGATTTCCTTTCCATTATATTTAGGGATCCCTAGATTTGGGGTTGTTATGTTTTGGGTGGGGGAGAGGGTGGCCTGGAAATCATTATTATTTTTTAAAGCTTGTTTTGAACTTGAGCTTGTGGAGTTCTTCGTTTGGAATAGGTTAGATTGATTCTTGGCTCTGTTTTGAAGATCTGCTCTCTTAGAAACAGCTGTACCCTCTTACCCAATTCCCAAACATTCTCTGCAACTCGGACACTTAACAAGATTGATTATGCTAACGCTAATCATTTAATACCCAAGTAGTAGAGAAGTATTTGGCGGGAGGATGGAGGTTACAGATTCCTGGGAAATTACTTAGGGGTGAAGTGGCCAGCTCTTCATCTCAGAGACCTGGTGGAGGATTAGGACAGAGGACCCCGTTGTGCCTGTCACACCCCCTCCCTGACCTCCAGGCTGAGAATTTTGCAACGCTGTGGCAAGCTGCTGGAGGGAGGCAGGCAGGACGGAGGAAAACCCTGGAAACTCAGTGGTCAGGGGCCAGCCTGCACCGGGGAAGCTGAGACTTACGCTTGCCCGTGTTTTAAAGGCTGGTTGGGGGAGGCACAATGGGATGTTTTCCCTTTATTGGAAAATAAATGAGAATGAGTGGAAATAAATTATGTTTAATGAACTTAACTGGAAGTAATTGTTCAAGAGCCTGTGAAAGCACAGCTTTGCTGGGTCAGGCCTTGGCCGCGGTTTTCACAAAGCATAGCAGCTGGAGAGCACATCTTTCTTTTCCAGGTTTGAGTGTTCCCCTCACATGCCCCCACCCCAACACCTCCACTCCTTGTCCTAGGCTTTTCGTCGTCCTTTTTTGGGGGCAGGAAAAGGTCCTCAAGAAGAGCTGAATTTGGCCCTCTAGACCCCCTTGCTTGGCAGTCTGCTTAGTGTGTTACCAGCTGGGTTGTTATAGTATACAAAGGGCCACAAAAGGGAAAAAGACCAAGGACTTAAAATGGTTCTAGTTAGTTCTATGTATATGCATATGTGTGTGAGAATTTGGATGAAAACTGACTGCACATTTATCCTCTCCCTGCCTGCCCTGTTCAATCATTTCTCAGCAAGAAGAATTTTAATGCCTGTGTGAATCCATGAGAAACTATGAGTCGGCAGAATTTCACAGACAGCAGGGAGAATCATCTCTCTTCCTTTTCTTGCTGTCTAAATGGATTTCATTTCCAGAGAGAGAGAAAGAGAGAGAAGAAGAAGAAGAAGAAGAAGAAGAAGAAGAAGAAGAAGAAGAAGCAGCAGCAGCCAGCCATTGATAATTTACAAAATAAATAAGCGACACCCTCCCTGGGAAACTCCCAGGGGTTGGAGAAGCTCTAATTCTGCAGCCTGGTGGGCAGGTTCCAGCCCATGCGGGCTGTGTCCTGCAGCCGCAGGCTGGACGTGGCTTTTTTGCATCTCACAGGCCGATCTCTTTTTTCTTATCACCTCATTTCTCCAAGTAAAACTCGAATCCTGTGAAACCTCCTCTCTTTTATTTATTATTTCTAACAGGCAGTGCTGTAGCTATCAATAGAAGTCTTGTCCAGGGGAAACAATGCGCTATTAGCTGGGAGCAAGGCTACGGCAGAAAGGAGCAACATTCAGCTGCGAAAGGACCCTGACCGCTGTGCTGGGTGGGTTCTGCCTGACTGCGAGGGGAGAGGGAAGAGGGCAGAAGGATGAGGGCTGGAGCAAGATGCCTTGACGAAGCCCATTTGGGGCCACAGGAGAAAGTTGCCTCTGCTAACCTCTCCCTCTGTATATGTAAGAGGCACACAGGATGCAAAAGCAAGTAAGCAAGTGTTGACTGGCTTAATTGGGATGGAATTGTGCGTGCAGGCCTGGATCCAGTTTGCTCTGGGTGTGTCTCTTGTAGTCATTTTGGCAGCAGAAGTAGTTGCTAACTGTTGTGGGGGGTCATAGGTTGTTGGGGTCACCAGGGTTACGTTGGCCGACTATCCATCACCCTCTGGGTTCATTGCCTGAAAAAACAGGACTAGTTGAGTCACCAAAGGGTGATTGATGGGTAAGAAATGGCCCTTCCTTCATTTCATCCCCAACCCCTCCTCTTTCCCAACTTGCTACCGCTCCAGTGACGTGAAACATCTATTAACGTGTTGCTAGTTGTCATTGGCCTTGCTGCAGCCATAGCAAATGGCATCTGGAAAAATGCTTGGGGATGAGCTATCAACCCATTTAAAAAATGTAAACCTGGAGTGAAAAGTGCCCCTTCCTGATGAGGTTTTCAGCCCCTGGGAGGGCTGGTAAGTTAAGACCACCGAAGAACTTCCATGCCCACCCCGAGGAGGGAAAACGGCTGACAAATGCTCCTCTGTGCTGCTTTTGTTTTATTGTGCTGGGCTCCTAAAGCCACTTTCTGGCCCCATTTTCCTTCTGCAGAAAAGGAGAGCAATGGGGGCGTATTGAAGAGGAGGGCTGAGGGAGAGAGACCAGTGCCAGCAATGGCTCTATTTGTTTTCAGTGTCTGTTGATTAATAGGTTGCAGAGGTGAATGGCTAGCTTTCATTCCCTCTAGGTTGCCCACAGTTTTTGGGGGTTGGGGTGAGAGGGGGGCTAGCAGAGGGATCTAGGAGTGCCTTATCAATCTCGCACTTGCCAAGTTCCAAATGACGGCCAGCATTCGGATGGGTGTGTGGGCGCCTGGCGATGAGGGTGGCACAGCCAAGTTGCAGAACACTATGCTTAAGGGTTCTTGAAAGGTCAAAGGTCAGCCACAGGGGCTCCCCTCCCCACTGCCCCCCACTGTAGCTCAATGAATAC